TTTACAGCGATAGAAAGTTGAATAATTTTTTGATATGTAGTACTAATTTTTATGGCAAAAAATAACAAATAACTTGTGCTGTTTTTGTGTCAAAAAATGTCAATATAAGCATTATTTTCACTGGAACGTGCTTTACGAAATGTGATTTGTTGTAATAGCCACCAGCACAGCCGAAAGGCTAGACATAGTGGCAACGAAAGCCCTGTCCCTGGAATAAAAAGAAGACCTACTAATACACAGTCCCAAACAGGGCTAACCATTATCAAAACACTCCCATCTCGGCGAGATTGGTGACATGATTTTAACGCTAGTGCGCAAGCGCGGGCTGATCGAGAGGGGCTCTCGATGACTTTTAAAAGTTCTTTTATTAGTTATATGCTTTATATTAATCGTTTTAAGGCAATACTTTTTCTTATTAACATCATCAGCATCTCTCAACAAAACAGCTACCTCACAATCTACTATTACTCGTCTGGTAACGAAGCACACGTGTACACAAGTAACCACCCACCACCTCACAATCTACAACAGGTAACTACCCACAACCTCACAATCTACTACAGGTAACTAACCACCACCTCACAATCTACTACAGGTAACCACCCACCACCTCAGAATCTACAACAGGTACGTACCCACCACCTCACAATCTACTACAGGTAGCTACCCACAACATCACAATCTACAACAGGTCACTACCCACCACCTCACAATCTACAACAGGTAACTAACCACCACCTCACAATCTACTACAGGTAACTACCCACCACCTCACAATCTACTATATAATACCTACCCATCACCTCAAAATCAACACAAGTAACTACCCACCACCTCACAATCTACAACAGGTCACTACCCACCACCTCACAATCTACTACAGGTAACTAACCACCACCTTGCAATCAACTACAGGTACCTACCCACACCTCACAATCTACAACAGGTAACTACCCACACCTCACAATCTACAACAGGTAACTACCCACAACCTCACAATCTACAACAGGTAACTACCCACCACCTCAGAATCTACAACAGGTCACTACCCACCACCTCACAATCTACAACAGTTACCTACCCACCACCTCACAATCTACTACAGGTAGCCACCCACCACCTCACAATCTACAACAGGTACCTACCCACCACATCACAATCTACTACAGGTAACTAACCACAACCTCACAATCTGCAACAGGTACCTACCCACCACATCACAATCTACAACAGGTCACTACCCACCACCTCACGATCTACAACAGTTACCTACCCACCACCCCACAATCTACAACAGGTAACTACCCCCCACCTCAGAATCTACAACAGGTAACTACCCCCCTCCGCACAATCTACTACAGGTACCTGCCCACCACCTCACAATCTACACAAGTAACTACCCACCACCTCAGAATATACAACAGGTCACTACCCACCCCCTCACAATCTACAACAGGTCACTACCCGCCCCCTCACAATCTACAACAGGTACCTACCCCCCCCCTCACAATCTACAACAGGTCACTACCCGCCCCCTCACAATCTACAACAGGTACCTACCCCCCCCCTCACAATCTACAACAGGTATCTCCCCACCACCTCACAATCTACACAAGTAACTACCCACCACCTCAGAATCTACTACAGGTCACTACCCACCACCTCACAATCTATAACAGTTACCTACCCACCACCCCACAATCTACAACAGGTAACCCCCCACAACCTCACAATCTACAACAGGTACCTACCCGCCACCTCACAATCTACAACAGTTCCCTCCCCACCCCCTCACAATCTACCCACCACCTCACAATCTACAACAGTTCCCTCCCCACCCCCTCACAATCTACAACAGGTAGCCACCCACCACCTCACAATCTACAACAGTTCCCTCCCCACCCCCTCACAATCTACAACAGGTACCTACCCCCCCCCTCACAATCTACAACAGGTACCTACCTGCTGCCAAGTCTCATTAGGTGGTGTCATGGGTGGGGTCATCACCTGGGGAGTGGTTTTGGGGGTGGGAGGCAACAGCTGATCAGAGGTGACAGTTTTTGTAGTGAGATCATCAGAAATGGTTTTGTTCACCTCTGACAGAATCTTGATGGCATCTTTGATGTGATCGATCTTGTGTTTGAAGGTGGTCTTGTTTTTAAATGTGTAGCTTTTCTGGCTGTTCTCTTGTATGAGTTGTTTTGTCATGTTGGATGACATTGTAGCTAGTGTGGATGCACTGGCTGTAGGAGGTTGCGAGGGCAGTGCCTCCCCAAAATTAATGGTACCAGAAAGTCCAGATGTGTTGAGAGAAGCCGAGTGTCCAGTAGCACTTGTATCTAGCCTCTCCATTTTTGTTCCATCACTCGTAGAATGGCAAATGAAATGGAGAGGTTCAACTTCCAACAGTCCAAATATGCTGCTCCTGGCATACTCCAGCTGAGCCTTTGAAGACTTTTCTGATGGAGGGTTGAACAAATCATAAAAGTCCATTTCATCAGCCACCAGGGTTGGAATGACTGAATTATTGTTGTTATTTCCAGCAGTGGATACACAACCAACAGCAGCAGCGTAGTTGGGTGTGACTGGGATTGTCTGTTTGAGAGCCATAGGAAGATCTGTGTCAAACAGATCAGGATCAAAGGGTTGACCATACAAACCAAACCTGCAAAACACACAACCAATCACTGTGACAAGAACATGTGATGACAAACTGTTCTATCACAGTGTAATAGATACACTATAGGAACGTGTTCAGGTATAAAAATAACTTGTGTAATAAGGTTTATGCTTTAGAAATGTGTATAAAGGAAATAGTTAAGCTATAACTATCAAAACAATAATCTACATTAATGTTCATTTAACTGTAATTTGTACATTGCTATCCATATCAATTTTGTGTCAAAAGGCATCAAATATCTTACCTAGACTTGAGAAGAGAATGTAGAGGTAACAGTCTGTCATAGTAATGTTTAGCAGTGAACATCATGAGTTCCGCACAGCTCTGGGCCACAGATGTTGCATCTACACACTTGACACGGTTGAGCATGCTGAAAAACCACTTGACAGCACCAGCTGAGTGTGCAGATGGTAGCAGCTTTAGACATTCCAGCAAGGCCTGCAGCAGACTCCAGCTGAAGGTTGGGGTTATGTCAGCGTCAGATGAATGCTTGTTGTGACTGAAAAAAATGTATCAAAGTGTTTATGATATATTATGGTATTCTAGACAGCTATATCTTAAGTTGAGACTTCTCTTTATGCATAGAATAGTGATGGTGTAACATTTCCAACACTTATGCCTAACAATAAATCTACCAACTGGAAATATTGTTGTCAAAGCATAACTTCAAGGAAAATTACCGGAGTAGTACCAGTGTATTGTTATCAAAAACTGTTCAGTTATTTCTGTAACACTGTTAGAGTAATCAAGGACCAATCATGTCGTGACATCAAAGTCAAACTTCATCAGGAATACCTGAATCCTTTCCAATTGACATTTGTCACAGAAAGAGTAAACCATAGAAAAAGCGTTATCTTGCACTCGCAAAAATGACTGTCCCTCTATTTTAATAGTAAAACAGTTTGTTTACAATATATCAAGGACCAAAAGAAACCACCCAGAATGGAAAATTGTAATTTTTTTTTTTTTTTTTAACATATGTAATAGTATAGCACACAATGGAATATTCATGTGAACAACTGGGATTCATATCATCCTATGTCTTAAGAATACGTTTTTCAATCCTCGATTAAATTCTCAGTCAAATATACATTGTTTTAGAAATAATTAAACCATTGTATGCTTAAAGTAATAGCATTAAACTTACTCCATGCACATAGCTAATAGTCTTGCACATTTGTGAGCTGTGGTGCGAGACCCGGAGATAAAACAAGCTTTGATCAAAGGTCCAAGTTTACTCTGAATTGTCTCTGGCAATGACTTCAGCGAACTTCTGTAACATACGTCAATCAAATACATTAAAAAGAGTATATACATTTTATAGTCTGTAAATCATTGGCTATAGTGAAAGCATAGCTTCCTCTGATATCCATTCTCAAATTCGAATGGTTTTGACAAATAATTCTGACTATCATTAAATTTTAACATGGACAAAGGAAACTTATTTAGCATAATTGTGTATAAACCAATCATCAATTTACAGTGAAAATCAACCATGTATCCACAATAAAAAAACATCTGCACATTTAGGGATATAAGGTCAATCCTGAAACTTTCATACCAAAAGGCAAACATTATTTTTGTGTTTCATTTCTATTTTTACCAATGCTTTTCCAATACATAAGTACAATACACATATACAAGCATTATCACCTTCATATTTCCTAATACCTATTCACATACATTTACTCTTAATTCATATACACTCACACATCATTTCATAGTATAGTATGAATGTATCTCATGGTAATTTTTCTAAGTAAAAGTTGATTCTCAAGATAATCTTTAAACAATATGCTGCAATCTCAAAATATGTTTAATTCATAACTAAATGCTTCAAACCCTATTTTGATATGTTGTGATGTAAGAAAGGATATTAGTATTTGGGTCATATCTGCCACTTACAACTATCAAATGTTATGGCATCAAATAACATAGCATAACAATGTCTTAATATTGAATTAAACCTGACTTCAATGAACAAATATCTGATCTGAGACATTACAGTGTTTGTGTGTGTGACCTACTTTTTCTCTGGATCCTTGTTCTGTATGGCAGTAATCCACATGAGAATGTCTAGTATCATATCCTGCCACTGCTGTGAACTAATTCCACCAAATACAAACTCATCCTCTAAGCTTACTGCAGACAATAAATTCCCGTGAAACTGTGTACTTTCTATCATTGAGATTCTCTGTAACCTGAAATGAAAAGATATGCAAATTAATAGCAACGATGACAAGGTTTGGTTTAGTATTGTTTAACGTCCAATTAACAGCTATGGTCATTTAAGGACGACCTCCCCTGTGTGCAAGATGCATGCGTGTAGTGTAGGTATGTGTGTTTTTGAAGGCTGCGATATGTTCGTGTTTGTCTCCTTGTGATAGCGCGGAACTGGTGCCGACTTTATAGTGCTACCTCACTGAAACATAAATTCAATTAACTTGTCATTTTTTTTTTTGTTTAAATAAGATGATCATGGCTAAAAATCCCACCTGAATAATGGACCCGTATTTGTGGTAGCAACTAGCCATTAACAGGCTCTGAGAATAATAAAATCTTTCACCCCCTTGGGGGTGAGATAGGGGGATCTCAAACCAAGGGGGGGAGATTCTTAAGTTGCCAAACACGAGGCCATGCCGAGATCCCCCTATCTCATCCCCGAGGGGGTGAATGATTATTTTTCTCTTACCCTGTTGTTCCTGTCCAAGTGTAAGACGAACCATATTGTTTGTAAACAGGAACATGTGGATAGCGTATTAATATTATATTTATGCGTCAGACGCTTCATGCATCATATTTTTTTATCACGCAAAATATAGTTCTGTTACATTTGACCAATAAAACATCCCATAAAATAAATACTTTCGTATATTCGACATTGTTTTTATTTATTTCTGAATAAGATATGTTAAGTTAAATTTAAACACATATTTGCATTAAAAATTAGTTGATGAGAAAGTTTTGCAATGTCACGTGATTCCTAGTCTCTCATTTTGAGTCCATTCACTAGTCACTCTGTATCTGACAGGATGACACATGCATGGCGCTTGTTTTAAACTTTCTCCTGTGATGATGCTTGGATATTTATATTAAATGTGCTACCTTCTATTGTGCATCCATGAAAAATCGTGCATGCTAATGTATTTGTATCACTCAAGGAGAGGCTGTTGTGTTGTTGTGTCAAATTGGAGCAATTCTCAGAGGAGGTAAGTGTGCTTGAAATTGGCGGCCTCGTGGAGTATGAATTTGCGGGAACACATCTGAAGTTTGAAACATCGGAAACAGACTGGTTATTAGCCAAGATAGCTGACATGTTTTGTTTTTGGAGATTACTCAATACGCGATAGTTGTTTAGTGACTGTGGGTTCTTATGTCCCGTTATATGAACTGCTTGTGTGTCGGGAGTTCCCGTCTCCAACAACTTCTGACACAAGTGTTTACGCACACTCGTGTTAGTGAAACGTTTGTGCTCCAGTCCGGACAGGTGTGCATTTTCTGCCATATTTTTGAGCAAGTGTGCTAATTTGTTTCTACCGACAGGTCCACTCATGAACCATTGCTCATTTTCACTGGGTTTCGTTTTATTTGCAATCTGATTAAAATCATATGTTACATGGCTTCGTTAACTTCGTACTACACCTGAACATCTGAGTGTGCCGCGGTCAGGGTCACGTTCAGGTGACCTTTATATTTATAAATACTCATTAAATTTTGACCAATCAGAGACCCTCTTTCAAAAGGGCGCTCGGAGTTGTAACAAATATGGCGGACATTGATGAGAACGATGCAGAAGTTCTGAAGTTATTTGAGATTGATCGTCTGAAAACTGAACAGAAAAAGATATTCAAAGCTTTATTAGAGAAGAAAGACTGTGTGGCGGTGTTGCCTACGCAATTATTACCCAATGGGTAAGTTTTCCTTGGCGTCGTAGAAACGTCAGTTCCCGCCGCCATATTTGTCTTGGAAAACTAATCTGTTTGATACCCCTCCCTATTTATCTATCAACCATGATATTCCGATTCGCTGGCAAACTTTTGCCAGCACGCCTCTGATTGGTTCTTCTAAAGGTCACTTGAACATGACCCTGACTGCGGCACATTCAGATGTTCAGGCGGAGCCATGTAACAGATGATTTTAATCAGATGGTTTTATTTGTTACTGTAGCTAGGTAGAAAGGATGATCATTATTTGAAAGGTTCGCCAGACGTTTGTTGGAGGATACTATATATGCCTGTACCGGGCATTGTTCTGGGTTGTCTGGTGTGGCGTACATCGTTGGCTTGCTGTCCCTGATATTTGTTATATCAACTCCCGTCCCTGTTTTTGTTTGTCTCTCATTGTATAATAAAAACTCCATCATCAGCTAGTCATCGAAACATAATTTAATGTCCCCCCAACACACGGCCTTATGCTCCTCTCCCCTCATTCCAAAATGTAGTGTATTGTTCAGCCATAACGTGTTCAGCAAGCTTTGAGGAGAGTCTGTCCCCAATTGACCACACTTATACAATAAGTCTATGTCATTGTCATTTATTCTATCAGCGGCCATTGGTTTGTTGCCAAAACCCCGTTTTTTAAATCCTTTTGTTTACACCTGAGAGCATCACGCGTACCGGCAAATGTGTATCCGGTTATAAGACTTGTTCTATATTTGTGTCGCTTCAAATACCATTCGATAGAGCCCAGAATTCCTCTCAGGTAACTTGGTTGGTATTGCGAACCATCCTTTTGTCTGACACAGACGAAGAACTTGGAAAGTAATTTATTAAGTTCATTGCCTGGAATTTGATGAATGTCACGGTTTTCCCCGTTGGTTTTCAGAAATGATCTCAACAGGTTTATATGGGACAGGGTTTTTCTGAGAGTATTTTTGTTTTCATTTTCTATGATGAAGTCTGCGAAATCATCATCTTCCATATTTATGAATCTGCTGTTCTTGTTCATGTTTATATGTGTGATTACAGTCTCACTCACAGCGTCACATGGTGGTACACTGTGTTGTTTACGTTGCTAACATGTGTGTCGCCAACGGGAGGCAAATTCGAAGCTGTTATTTTACTTCTGGTGATCAAAGAGGGGGCAGATACTGGGAGAGGGATTTGTTTGGGCTCATTGATATCTGTATTTATGAAATAGGCTTCCAATTCTGCATTAAACAGGTAAGAAAAGTCAAATTCATCATCTGCCAAACCTTTCATAAGTTGGTGTTTGCTAGCACTCACAACTTCACCAGTAGCACACAGATGTACTTTGGACATAACTTAAGTTCCAATTGGTTTAAAAGTATTTTGTATGACCCCGTTTTCCTTCTGATCCAACATTTACCAGATCAACGATTTTAAACATTTTAAAATCAATCCCGTCTTCTTTGATGTCAAATGTAAACACGACAAGATTAGCAGACAAACTTGTGTATGTGTGTGACCTCATAAAAGTAGTTCTTCTTCCGGGTCACATCAGTGACGTCAGGTTTATTGTGGGGAATGTGCAAAGAGCACGTGTAGCTTGTCTCAACCCTAGGGTGAGACAAGGAAATCTCACACCAGTAAAAGTAAGGATAAATCTGTCCAGGGTAAGAGAAGTGTATATCTCCAGAGACAAATGTATTGCATATGGTGATAAGAGATATTGCTTTCATTTTCATACAATCTACTATTTTATAACACTTTACTAACTATATCTGCATACCTTTCTTTTGGAAGTGCTAACTTCTTGGACTTTCTGATAGTGATAGACAGTTCTTGTATCCAGTCACAGCCTTGTAGGTTCTCTGGTAACTTGGGCCTGGGTAGTGCCGAGATCACTGTCTCTTTTAGTGGCACAAACAGGTCATTGTCAAAAGCTGTCTTCATTACCTTCATCTTTTGTGCTGTGTTTGTAGCTGGTGCAGCTTTCTTTTTGGAATCCTACAAACAATACACAATAAACATATTACAAAGGTGTATTTTCTCCGGACCTAAGTTTAACTTTGGAAATGTGTCTGTAAGACACAAATGCCCTGTTCTGGCATAGTTGCACTTGAGAATTAAGTAAGGTCATAGAGGCCAAGGTCAAAGGTCAGGTTTACAAAAAGTCATGTAACATGCTGTACTCATAAGAGCAGCTTTAGCATGTGAAATTATATGACCCTAGCTGCAGTACTTAGTCCATAACTCACTGACCTAAATACAAAAAGTTAATTGGCTCTACAAGGGTAACATGTAATACCCCCACACCACTGTGTGGCAGGGCATAAAATCACTTGTTTCAAAATTGTGGTAAAATAAATGAAGCATATTTTTTTCAAGTTAAATACAAAATAGACAAAGTCCAACGTCCAGAACATCTTTTTTAGGTCTGGGTTGATTGGATATAAAAATGTCCAATTTTTACAATGGTAAATAAGAGCTTCATAATTGGAAAACTTTTTAAGTCTGCTGAACTAATTAATTCTTTTTGTTGATAATTTCTCACATAAAAAGAGGAACAACTTACCTTTGGTTTATCATTTGTTTTGTCATCAGTATTTTTGTTCTGAGCAAAACCTCTGAAATGCAGGAGAAAAGCTTTTGGCTTTGAGCTCATCAGCTGTGGACTAGTGAGTGTGATTATACCACTGCTACCAGACAGGTCTAAACAAGTGGAGAGATTGATAGGGCCACACAATATCTCGGCATTATGACTTTCCTGGAACATAGGATCCAGAACATTATTGCTGGAGCTTTCTGTTGGTTTACAAAAAAATTCCTGTGACTCGGAACTACTGCCAGCCTTGGACATACCAAAGTCTATTCCTGTGTCCACATCGGCATTACTTGGACTTGATGGCATGGTGGGCTGACGACCAAGACTGGTTATGTTTTGTTTGAGCAGTGTGACCTGAATGTCCGGAGGATTACTACACTGGGGTTGTAATGTAAACTTGACATCCACATGTCCAACACAACAAGGTCGGGGCAGAACTATCTCCAACATGTGTTCCTCCCAAGTATTGCTGAAGGGAAAACAATATTTTGAGGGATTTTAAAGGAGCAAAGTTAGTGTTTTACACTTTTAATGAGAATTTTAATCAATATTTCTAAATAAAGGTTACAACAAGTAACAGTTTCTTAATTTGATATAATGAACACACCTTTCTTGAAAATGAAATTATTTTATTTTGATGATTGAAAAGGTTAAATAAGAAAGCTTACCAGTCCTGTTGGAGTTTCCATGTCCTTGTGTGTTGAGTAGCTTCCCCTTGATGTTGTAGATGTTGAGGATGGCGCCTCTGTTGCTGTTCCTGTTGGATCTCTGTCCAGCAAGCGGGCACAGTGGCAGTAAACCGAGGCATCAGATTCTCAAACTGTATTAAGTTATGTAGAATCACCAGATTCTCCACACTGATTGGCTGCTTAGTGAGCATGTCAGACCCTAGTGAAGGAAAAGGTTCAAATAAAATTGCAATGTAGAAAAAAAAAGAATTGTTAACACATGTGTAAAGTGTAGGAGGTAAATGTATGGACAATGTTAATAAATGAATACATATTACACAACATTGTTTTTAACCTATTATATGTAAATATTACAAAGGTACAAGATTTTGAAAAAGATGTGCAAAATGTATCTTACCAATCTGTTTTACTGTTATACTGTGTTGAGGTGGTAATGTTTCTATTACCAGTCAATTTTACTGTTATACTGTGCTTATGTTTCTATTACCAGTCAATTGTACTGTTATATAGTGTTCATTTGTCTACATTGACTACAGAAAGTAGGACAGGGATAGTATTAATCTAACAGAAAGTAGGACAGGAATAGTAATAATCTAACAGAAAGTAGGACAGGGATAGTAATAATCTAACAGAAAGTAGGACAGGGGTAGTAATAATCTAACAGAAAGAAGGAAAGGAAGAATAAGAATCTAACAGTCAATTGTACTGTTATATAGTGTTCATTTGTCTACATTGACCACAGAAAGTAGGACAGGGATATTAATAATCTAACAGAAAGTAGGACTGAGATAGTAATAATCTAACAGAAAGAAGGAAAGGAATAATAATAATCTAACAGTCAATTGTACTGTTATATAGCGTTGATTTGTCTACATTGACTACAGAAAGTAGGACAGGAATAGTATTTATCTAACAGAAAGTAGGACAGGAATAGTAATAATCTAACAACAGAAAGTAGGACAGAGATAGTAATAATCTAACAGAAAGTAGGACAGGAATAGTAATACTCTAACAGAAAGTAGGACAGGAATAGTAATAATCTTACAACAGAAAGTAGGACAGGGATAGTAATACTCTAACAGAAAGAAGGAAAGGAATAATAATAATCTAACAGTAAGTAGGACAGGGATAGTAATAATCTAACAGTAAGTAGGACAGGGATAGTAATAATCTAACAGTAAGTAGGACAGGGATAGTAATAATCTAACAGAAAGTAGGACAGAGATAGTAATAATCTAACAGAAAGTAGGACAGGAATAGTAATACTCTAACAGAAAGTAGGACAGGAATAGTAATAATCTTACAACAGAAAGTAGGACAGGGATAGTAATACTCTAACAGAAAGTAGGACAGGAATAGTAATAATCTAACAACAGAAAGTAGGACAGGGATAGTAATAATCTAACAACAGAAAGTAGGACAGGGATAGTAATAATCTAACAACAGAAAGTAGGACAGGGATAGTAATAATCTAACAACAGAAAGTAGGACAGGGATAGTAATAATCTAACAACAGAAAGTAGGACAGGGATAGTAATAATCTAACAACAGAAAGTAGGACAGGGATAGTAATAATCTAACAACAGAAAGTAGGACAGGGATAGTAATAATCTAACAACAGAAAGTAGGACAGGGATAGTAATAATCTAACAACAGAAAGTAGGACAGGGATAGTAATAATCTAACAACAGAAAGTAGGACAGGGATAGTAATAATCTAACAACAGAAAGTAGGACAGGGATAGTAATAATCTAACAACAGAAAGTAGGACAGGGATAGTAATAATCTAACAACAGAAAGTAGGACAGGGATAGTAATAATCTAACAACAGAAAGTAGGACAGGGATAGTAATAATCTAACAACAGAAAGTAGGACAGGGATAGTAATAATCTAACAACAGAAAGTAGGACAGGGATAGTAATAATCTAACAACAGAAAGTAGGACAGGGATAGTAATAATCTAACAACAGAAAGTAGGACAGGGATAGTAATAATCTAACAACAGAAAGTAGGACAGGGATAGTAATAATCTAACAACAGAAAGTAGGACAGGGATAGTAATAATCTAACAACAGAAAGTAGGACAGGGATAGTAATAATCTAACAACAGAAAGTAGGACAGGGATAGTAATAATCTAACAACAGAAAGTAGGACAGGGATAGTAATAATCTAACAACAGAAAGTAGGACAGGGATAGTAATAATCTAACAACAGAAAGTAGGACAGGGATAGTAATAATCTAACAACAGAAAGTAGGACAGGGATAGTAATAATCTAACAACAGAAAGTAGGACAGGGATAGTAATAATCTAACAACAGAAAGTAGGACAGGGATAGTAATAATCTAACAACAGAAAGTAGGACAGGGATAGTAATAATCTAACAACAGAAAGTAGGACAGGGATAGTAATAATCTAACAACAGAAAGTAGGACAGGGATAGTAATAATCTAACAACAGAAAGTAGGACAGGGATAGTAATAATCTAACAACAGAAAGTAGGACAGGGATAGTAATAATCTAACAACAGAAAGTAGGACAGGGATAGTAATAATCTAACAACAGAAAGTAGGACAGGGATAGTAATAATCTAACAACAGAAAGTAGGACAGGGATAGTAATAATCTAACAACAGAAAGTAGGACAGGGATAGTAATAATCTAACAACAGAAAGTAGGACAGGGATAGTAATAATCTAACAACAGAAAGTAGGACAGGGATAGTAATAATCTAACAACAGAAAGTAGGACAGGGATAGTAATAATCTAACAACAGAAAGTAGGACAGGGATAGTAATAATCTAACAACAGAAAGTAGGACAGGGATAGTAATAATCTAACAACAGAAAGTAGGACAGGGATAACAATAATCTAACAACAGAAAGTAGGACAGGGATAGTAATAATCTAACAGAAAGTAGGACAGGGATAGTAATAATCTAACAGACATCAATAATGCTCCTTTGATTAAAACTTTGTTTTAAGCCTCGTGGGATGAATGTACAACTTACCAGGACTGTACTTATCAGTGGTTTCCCTACTCTCTTGTTCTGGTTTACTCTGAATGGTGTCATGCTCAGCAGGAAATTCACCATTACACAGTCCATCAGGTGAGTCCAAAGGCTGCTGCTTGGTTTGGGGTGGACTGTGGTCACAGAGCTGGTAGAAGTGCAGCTTCCCATGAGCTGTACATATACACAGTCGCTCAATACCTGTAAAGTTAGCAAACATCTTATTGTTCCTAAATGTCAGAATACAAAATGAATAATGTTATAATGTTATAGGTTTATGTGTAAAGCTGTAGGTCTCATTACAATCTACTTCATTCACTTTGAACATATGTACATGTATTGTAAAATACAAATTTTACAAGACAATTGCATGTTAAACTATACACTTGTAAAAGGAGCGTTTTCGCACCTAAAAGTTTAAACAGTTATAAATACATGAGATATGTTCTACAAAGAAATGAAGATTATGTATCTTTTTCTATATTACATTATATGAAATTGTGTAAAATGAAAAAGGATACTCGTCCTACTTCAGAAAAAACACCTTAATTTCATTTTAGATATAACTTCAGCGAAATCTATCACAGATCAGGTAGCTCAGTTGTTTTTTCTATTTCAATATCATTTATGCTGGTGGAAAAGTTACTAATTCATAGTTACTGTTTTTTGCATTGGAACAGGGATCTTTAAATGTATTTTCAAAAAACAAAATATGGAAAAATTACCTGTACAATATGTTGAAGAAACAAACGTGTCTCCACTTGGAGGGGTGACCTCTGCCACTCTACTGAGATCACATAGGTTGAGAAGCCACACCTTACCACTGACTAGAGTTACTGCTATCTGACCATGGATGTCAACAGATGACCTATTAGAGACAGAATTTGGCACTTGACCCACTTGTCCATACATTGCACAGTCATCATCATCCTCTTGTAGGTCACACACATCATGTGGAAGCACCAGAACATGTTTCACACCTTGATCAAGTCTGTCGATACACTTGACTATCACGGGCGACTCGTCCAACACAGCATACTCGTTGCCATAGGTGAAGCTGTATACCAGTATACAGCCCCCTTGGCAGTCCCCATCTCCTTCATTATCCTTTGGTAAGTCTATATCCATATCAGACACAGAGCTAGGTGAGCTGAGGTCTTCAGAAGCAGTCTGAGGTTCATCACAGTTGTTTGTTATAGAGTTGGATATCACAGCATTGTTCTCCGCCGAGGCAGCCACGTTCCAGTGTCTTGTACTAGGTTTCACAACCACTATCAAATGCTGTCCATCTAAGGTAGGAATAATATGAGAAATTTCAAAATTATCAGACCGTAGATTCTCTGGGAGTTCTACACACTGTAAAACAGCCCCAGCTCGTAGCTTTAATGTCACTGAAGTATTCTTTACTGTTACTTCTTCTGTTTTTCTTGTATTGTCAGATTTTCCTTGCTCAGGTTCAGTCGGACCATTGTGTTCCTTGACAATAATAGGAGAACTGTCACTTGTAGAAACATTGATGGTACCGGTGAAGTTGGTGCTTGGTCCTGGAGTGATTCCCGTTATCTGAACGTCTGGGTCTGGATCTGGATCAAACATAGGATCCAGCTGTGCCCAATTACTGCTACTGACAGTCACATGGTCTCCCGAACCTAGCACTGGGACATTCACATAACTCAACTCACTGGTCGACAACGAAGAAGAAACTTTTTTGCTTTCTTTTTCTTTGTGTTTACTACTTTTTCTACTATCATCTTTAACAGCTAACAAAAGTATATGTGGCACAAATTCTGTAGAATTCAACAACTCATCCTGACATCCTTCATCTTCATCCTCCAAATCTTCATCTTCAATAATCCTTGGATTAGAATCACAGCTCACCACTTCATTTACCTCATTCATGAGTTGAACTTCTGTGGTGATGTCAGTGTTTTGTACCTCCTTATTGGAAAGTGTGAGATTAGTCCGTCTAAGGGAAGCACCACACACCACTGTAGGCTGAGGATAAGATCTGGATTTCCTTTTGGATTTTGTACCACTGCTCCCACTGCAGTTTTCTTTTGATGAAGACCACTTTTCTGGATTGGGTTTCCTAAGGACACATAAGGATTTCACTTGTACATCTTCACATGGCCGGGACCGTGTGCTTGCTTCTGTAAAGAATAATTGATGATATTAAAAAAGGGAATGACAGGGTTTATTCATCCTGATATTACTAAAATGATGACATCCTTCAGGGTAAATTCAAATTCCCCTTTCTGAAAAACCATCTTTTTTAATTAGTTCTGACGAAATCTTTATAAACTTACAGGCATCCTGTAATTATTGAACAAATACCTTTATTGCTTTTTTGATTTTGATTTTGTCTCAATTATAAAAAAAATCACTGAAATAATCATATTTTTATAAAGTATCCTCAGACTCTGTATCCAGTTAATAGTAATGTATTCACCTGATTTGTCAGGTTTGCTATACAGAGGTATCTCATATAAAGATTCTTGTTCTTTCACTTGACCATCAATTATATCAATGCAATTTGTTGATAAGAATTCTGGTTTGACGTCACATCCACCCTCACCGTTTGTAACACTGAAAAATAGAAAAAGTATACATAAACACTTTTCACTCTCATTTTTAGAGTGTTTAGCATACCAATGTATAATAACAAGTGCTCAAACACACCTTGCATTTGTGACCTTCAAAAGTAGGTTAAGGTCCATAAACAAACTTGACAGCAACCAATGTACATTACAAGCTAAATATCCATAAAAGTCTACACCTTATTGATCTGAAGAATTTGTTTAATAAATTAAATCGATGCTAATTATGGCAAGGTTTAAGATTTTCAACATTTTTGTTAATTCACTCAAACACACTTATGTGTGCAACAAGAGGTCACCAGGTCTTACAATTGTGACAAAGCGGATCCAGACAATAAACGTGTTTACAAATTATTGTGATATCAGTGAGATAAACAGCTTCACTTACTAAACCTATAATTATTGGTCCATATACTAATGTGCCTATTACCTGTATACTATACATAAAAACTTTACTCAGACACCATGTAATTGGAATAGTCAACTTCACCATACAACAGTCACCACCAATAACATGTCCTTGTTAATCAGTGAGGTATCATGTGTCATAAAACTCAACATCATATCAAAGTATACTTGGGTAGTATACAATCACAATTTTGTATTACATTAACACTAATATTGCAGGAATTGACAGAATGAGTGCCGCACAATTGCACAAACTAACATGTACTTTACGCCAGGTAACCTAACAAAACATCCAGGGGCATCAAATATTTTTCCAAGTTGAGGGGATGTTTTTTTGGGTCAAAGTAGTTTTATTTTAAGTGGATTTAAACAACAAATTTTAAACACTTTAAATGATAAACAAAACAAATCAACAGCCTTTTTTTTTTTTTTTTTGCACTATCTTTGAAAAACATAAACTAACTTTGCCAAAAAGTGGGGTTTACAAAATCATAAATACGTATGACAGTTGTATGAAAAGGGACATCATATGAATGTAATACATACCTAACACATTGCTCAGCTCCTTCTGAGGACTCGACCTCTGTAGTCTGAGTATGGATCTCTCTCACACTTGGGCGGTCAATCTGTAGACCAGTCTTCATCGCAATGACAGTGGCTGTGGGATCCAGGTTAAACTGGCAGTGTTTCTGTAGAGGAAACAGTATTTCTACTTTAAAACTGTTTTTTTTCCCGATTCCCCTAAGAAATGTCAGGAGTTTGTCATTGGTAATTGAACATGAGGTCTGCGAGTTGTCATTTGTATGGTACCAGTATTTTCAGAAAGACAAAATAAGAATTTTAGCAATATTTCTTTAAAAAAAACATGTTTTCATATGGTAAATACTATCAATTTTCATTTTTTATGCAGTTATACATTCTAACACACATGGTATAGCACTGACTGCATTAACTATGCTAAATGGACCATGATTTGTTCTTAGATATATCATAAATTGATTCAAAGGTTTAAGACATGATACATGGCTATCTAATCAATGCAGTTTTTATTTCTTAAATGGTGTGCCATATTACCTTTGATATTTTTGAGATGTTCCACACTACGATGTTTCCATTCAGTGTTGATGTTGCCACAAAATCATCAGTATTGGTTGTACTTAGACATTCAACCTTTTCAAATGAAAAACAATGAGACAATATTAAAACAATCGGACAAATATGATCACTTAATTTATTCTAATTGTGTTCATTGTTTATTTTGCAAATTCATAACCTTGTGAAAGAATACTTTGAAGCACATTGCAATTAAAGTTATAACATGCATTTATAAGACTAAGCGACTTAAATTATGGTATGTGGGAAGTACAATAGTGCCTTAATTTTGATAATTTAATATACTTTCAGAAATACTAAACTGAAGAAGTCCTTGAGATCAATACTGTGCCACGGTTCCTTCCATTCATCCACACTATAATCTACTAACCTTTTCATTACGGTCTCCATGTCTCCTTGCTGGTTGGCTTGCATATGTAACTGAAGATAGAAGTTTTAATGACTTTTGTAAAACATTTCAAAATTTTGATGAGTCCCATCTATAAGTGGGTCCTAAAAAGGTTGGACAGCTCTGCAGGAAATTGCATGAATTCAGGACTCAAATATCTTAGTCCCAAAATACCTGTTATATCCATAAATTTCAGTCAGCCACCAATATGTAAATGTATACAAATTTAAGGTAAACAATGAACAACCATCTGGCTTCTTTTCCTCTTACATTAGGAACTTGCATGAAACACAAAATAAATTAAATAGTTCTTCTGTTGTAGAAATACTTACCACTCAGAGGTACATTCTGTGTATATTCCCCTTTTACAAATGGACAGGCTGGTGAATGTCTTTCATGCTCAGACCTGAAACAGTGATCAACATATATAAGTATTTCAGAGGAAAAGTATTACATTATTATCTAAAGGTTAGCTTCACACTTTATTCCAAGATAGCCAGGTAATACAACTGAGTACACTTTTTTCTATGTGCATAATAAGTTTCGGTCTACATTAACAATGAACATTACTAGGCCCTGAGCAGACTTGGCTCACTCTTGTTAATTTAAAAAAACAACAACACCCACAATGTACTTCATACAAAATAATGCCAAGTCCTTTTTGTATTTATGTCACTAGATGCTAACAAAATACAAGAGTCCCATGGGCCTTAACGGTCACCTGATATATTTATACAGAGAGTTGATTTTTGTTTTTAACATGAACAGAAATATTATTCAAAGTGACAAAAAACCCCAATAAAACCACCTTATTCAATATCTAGCATGCAGATTTAAGACTGAAAAGTATTTGAAACTAGCACCTCTGATTTTAAACAAGGAAAATGATTAATTTTATTTTAGCACACATTGGGCCCCACTCTTGGGGGTAGGGATGGCTCAAAATTTTCAAAGTATCAAACTGTCAACTTAGGGTTATAATTCCAATCAAGTTATCAACATGCAATATTCAAAGTATCATTTGCCATTATAAACCTCATAACAAATTTTGCCCCCCCCCCCTCCCCAGGGGTAAACGTGAGACCCTAGGGTAATAAAATTCACAATTTTGTTAGAGCACCTAAAAACCCTTCCATCTATGAAGAGTATTTCATTCTACCATATCTGGTCTTGAGAAGATGATTTAGAAATTTCAGTCAATTCAACCCTTTTTTGCCCCACCCATCAGCCCCTGGGGGTCAGTCAGGGCTCATATGTGCATACCATCAAACTGCTATCCAATACTGATAATGCTAACCCAAATTGAATTACTTCCAATGGCAATTAAACAAATGTTAGTCCAAAATGTGATTTCCCTATATAAACTATAGTTAAGTTTAGCCCCTCCCCAGGGGGAAACGTGAGACCCCAGGGTCAAGAAATTCACAATTTTAGTAAAGCACCTTAAGACCCTTCCATCTATGAAGAGTATATGATTCTACCATATCTGGATCTTGAGATTTAGATTTTTGAAATTTTAGTCAATTTGACCCTTTTTGGCCCCGCCCGTCAGGCCCCTGGGGGCTGGGGACCATATAATTCACAATTTTAGTTGACCTTTGGCCATGGAAGGTTTCTGCAAAATTTCATTGAAATTGGTTCAGGGGTTTTGGAGAAGAAGTCGAAAATGTAAATTGTTTACGGACGCACGATGGACGACGACGGACAAAAGGCGATCGCAATAGGTCACTTGAGACTTTGTCTCAGGTGACCTAAAAACAGGATTATTTGTTCATCTTTTATACATTTAATAAACAGTTACTCTCAAATATCTTCAATAAGATTCATCAATTTGGAAATATTCGGTGAGAAGAACTAGGGACTCATATTCCTAGGATGCTTTTTTGTAGTTTATCCGACATACCAGGGTTCATCTGTGGGTTCCCAACACACCAGACACACATTGCAAGTAAAGCACATAGCTCTGTCGTCTCCAATAGAATTGGGCTGATGGTAAAAGCCTGCCTGGGACATAGGATCTGGTAAAGCCCATCTGGATCATAAAAATAGTAAATATGTGAAATGACTGAATAAAAATAGAATTAACACCAAATCATTATAGTACATAGTAAATTTCAATTAAATGTACATATTCATGTTTAAACCAATGCTCAGTCATAAATCCCTTCTTACCTTTACCTTAATCTATCCCTTCATACATAAGTATGGTTTCGTTATGATAAAAAGACAACCATCTGACAAGCGATTTCAATGAGACGTTTCAACCACTGTCACATATTGCACAGCAGAAAAATATGAGTATCTCCGGATAAAACAAGCAAAAATAGAGAAAAGGAAATATCCAACAAAATATTGGATATTGAGATAAGGATAAATGATTAAAATAATGTTTATGTAGTAACTCGGTACACACTTGTAGTTCATATGTGGCCATTTTTTGAATGTCTCTTGTCGAGCTGCTTCACTGTACATCATTGCCCTCTCACATGGGGCACTACTGCCCTCCAATAGCTGTGGGTTGGGCAGGAGGTACGTCAGTCTGTCACTTATAGCAGAGGCTACTGACAAACCGGGGTTGTACACCATCAGTCTCCTCATTTCTGACACAAGACTAGAACACACACTCTTCAGGACGGCATGGGGAAGCTCCACACAAACTGTTGCCCACTGCAAATGAAATTTAGAAATATTGTGTTCTTTGGTTACTGTGAAAAATAAACCTCTAAAATTGCATGAAATGTTAAAGGTAAATGCTACGAAGGCACCTTGGCCAAATAGATCAAGTTTTTTTTAACACTGACCCATGTTTCTGTAGATAAAACATGAGGTACCATAAAAATGCCCTTTCTTTCAACTGCCAAAAGGAGAATAAGACACATGGGGCACTACTGTTTATAACTATTTAATAGTTACATACTTTAGATGTTTTGAGATTTCCTTTTGTGGATTCCTGCACAAATTCTATACGNTAAAAATGACCTTTCTTTCAACTGCCAAAAGGAGAATAAGACACATGGGGCACTACTGTTTATAACTATTTAATAGTTACATACTTTAGATGTTTTGAGATTTCCTTTTGTGGATTCCTGCACAAATTCTATACGTTTTTCCAGCTCCTTTACAGTATCGTCCACATGATCTACTCCAGGGAGCTCTGCACTGACTAATGACTTCAGCAGCTGGATAGCCTGTAAGTCACAGAAGAAATTATTACTGCATGTTAGGTAATACAGAAATCAATTTAGTTTCTGTAATCAACAATACATAAATCAAATAAATCTTTCCTCTTTTTTCCCCCTACAGCATTTTAATACAAATAAAGATATTTCTAAATAATAAAACTAAATAAATTTCTTATCGTTGAAAAAGGCCAAGTAATCCGATGAGGCATAATAATTATAAGACTGTGTTTACCTCTACTAAGGGAATCTCCACTCTGACCAAGTCCTCTGTCTTAAATACAGGTGGCTGTAGTGCAGTGTCCAAGAGTATCATTCCCCTCAGGTCACTCCGCACTCCCACACCATTTTGATCACAAAATAATATTCTGTCCTTTCCAGATATATACATACACTTAACTGCATCTTTGCCTTGTGCTGCAAACAGTAAAGTACTGGTACATTTTTGTTATCATTAGAGACCATTTTACTAATAAACAGTCTGTTTTATTTCAGGAATATCATTCAGGGTGATATATTAGTGTCCAATACATTTCCCCTGAACATTTTGTATTTGTCTTTCTTTCCCAACAAGCAAGCAATTAAGTTGCAAAATTTTTGTACAGAGTTTTCAGATTCAATTTTTTTAAAGTATAACAGGAAGGAATTTTAATTGTGTCATTATGTAAAATTTGTCACTCCAGTAGAGAAAATATGTGTGGCTTGAATGTAAGAATACATTTTTTTCAAATATGTATCAAAATAGAATTATTGTAACCAGGTAGCTAATTGGTTAGAGCAGCAGTCTCGAGTTTCATAATCCAAGGTACAAAACCTGGTCTGGCCGTGTTGTTACTTTTCCCGATACAAATACTCTTTAATTCTTCAAGCTTTGTTCTAATTTTTCATAATCAACAACCACCAAACAATATCTGCACAAATATTTGCCACAATATTATAGCAAAAACTGGTACATCACAATTACCGATTCAGATCCAGTACTGTTTCACAGCACAAATAACTCAAATCATACCATAGGACCCATTACTATCATGAGAAATTTATATTGTAAAACAAAACAATTACACAGGAATATATCTGGCAGTGTAAAATTGAACGATGGAATGGAAAATAAATATATCCATCACTCATTAATATTTTAATATACTATATCAGTTTGATTCTGATAAGTTAAGCAAACAATGTCAAAATGCTCCGAACAAAACTCTAATTTTGGCCTTGACGGTATCGCAACAACATTCGACATCATATACTGTATAGCCGTTGGCATCAGGGGGTCGGGATATTCTTAGGGACAGATTGTTATCTTCGAAATAAGAAACCAGATATGAAAACATATAATAACTGGAAAGGTCGATGCTGAAGATGTGGGTAAATTGCGTCGTTAGACTTTACATTTGACAGATTTCAATTGTGCAATATAAATTCATATGATTTCACTTCAAAGAGGCGTACCGGAAAGACTTGATTTTTGTAAGATAGCACCAGAGGCCACATCATAAATCTTAACGGATGGTTCCTTAGTTGAAACAATAATGGAATTCAATGCAGAATGGTATGTGACGTCGCTGGCTGGTTCTCCAATGGGTATACAGCCGTCCTCTCCGACATACCACTGCCTTTCAGTGGCCGCCATCTTTCTGGCATGAAATCTCGCAGCTCATGACATCATCGATCAATTTTTTTCGTGATTTTTCTTATGTTTCGAAGATGTAGCTACACTATCGTTATATAAGAGACAAAAAATGTTTAAGAAACATTCAACGGTTACCACATGAGATCGTTTGGGTGGTTTTAACATCTAACTCAAGATCGAGTATAAGATCACGTGATCTTACAACGTGATTTCGTGATGCTAACAAAAATGATGACAGGAGAGCACATGTCTTGAAAAGCAGCAGCCAAGACACAATTCAAGTTTGATAAAAAAAGAAGTGCACGTGTTTAATTGAGAAGAATTTAACATGGCTGAACAATTTTCTGTGGTTACACAAAGTATTGTAACTGTCAGAGTCACAAGCTCAGGGAATACGTTTGGGTCTGAAAGGAGATTCCAGAAAGATCTGACAGTTGCTGCAGTAAAGGTAACCAAGGCAATGCTACGACAATGAAAGTATTGCTGTTGTTATAAAATTAACAACTATAATATAAATAAGATGGGGTAATTATAATACTGTGGTCATGCGTAACCATTTTGGTATTGAACTTGTACAGTGCTAGATCTAGGCCTTTTTTATGACTTATACATGCATATACTGTATGGGGCCATGTATGTATATGTACATATATATATGTACGTGTCATGCTGCCACAGAAACACATCCAGCGTCTCAAGCATGCTCGACGTACTTGGGTGGAGAACACTCCAGAAAAGACGCCATGACGCTCGCCTGGCTATGTTGTACAGGATCGACCGAGGCCTAGTTGCGATACGTAAAGGCGGAAGACTGCTATTACCTCGCAGACTCGGTAGATCTGTCCATGCCAGATCCTACCAGCTCCTCACAAGCAGGATTGACACGAGGAAGATGTCCTTCTTCCCCAGGACGGTGAGAGGCTGGAAAGCCCTCCCCCCAGACATCGCCTTTGCCAACACACTGGACCCCTTCAAGGCCAGACGTGTGTCAAAACTCTGAGGTCCTTTGTTTTAATCCAGTTTTTATTAAATTTTTAACCTTTCGACGTCAGTCCAGCACCATGCACACCACCTACAAACATAGCAGAATCTTCAACCTGTTGAAGGAGGCTATTACCAGGCAGAAGCAGAAGAGATGTATACATTAACACAGGCACTTGCCATTAAAATAATTATGAGTCACACATGCATAAGATGTGAAAAAGATTGTTTTTTTAACATTAAGAACTGTTTATATAACATTATAGATTGCAATGTTTTTAATGACATTCTAAAGACAACCGTGTAACAGGTTGGGCACAAAGGCGCATATGGGTAATAATCCTGCATTTGGGCAACAGTTACTGTACCCATTGGAGTAACAATTTTATTACTGAAACGGGGAATGAAGTGAAATAAAAACACACGAAGTTCTTTGCGCCGTTGTGCCAACCTGTGTAATACATGCAGAATGTGATTCCTGAAGAAGCCAACACCAAAGAGTAAACAAGTTGACAATAAAATATGAATGACTCGCATTGAAACATGGTGGCGGAAAATCCTTGTGATTGACAGTCATATACTTTTTATAATGGAGTATTACACAGTTTGCTTCAAAAACGGGTAAACTGTGGCAGTGTGGGTGGTGTAGTGGATATAGCGCACTTGCCTTTCACCACTTTATATATGTATGTGACATGACATGAAAAGTATGGGGGTCACCTGCCCAACCACATGGGTTTTCTCCAGATACTCCGGTTTCCTCCCACAATAAGCCCTCCCTGCTCAATAACATCCGGGCCAACATGAGTTTATATATTTAATATAAGTTGAAATAACTTGTTTCATAATTGTTGTAAAATAAATAAAGTATATATATACTAGCGTAAAAAGAAACTGTGCATGCCTTAACTGTGTTATAAAAATAAATGTGTATGACGACGTAGAACGTTTTCAGGGACAATTTATCGAATCAATAAGTTCCGCTCAGGAGTGACGTAAACACAGCAGGGGTCAATACTGAGTTCACAAAGTTAATACCTTGTATGTCCATCGTTTGCCTAAATGCAAGCCTGGCAACGTCGACGCATGAAGCCTATCAGACGGTTCAAGAATGCTTGTGGGATGGCATTCCAGATCTGTACTAACGCTGCAGGCAAATCAGCCAACGTCGCTGATTGATTAGGTAATGCCTGTAATATGCGCTTTATTTCATCGCAGATGTGTCGGGGGGGTCAGAAAGTCCATAGCGACATGAGCTGTGTGTGGCCTGGCGTTCTTCTGCTGTAGTGTAATGTGACGTTGCTGCCCTTGCACGAATGGAATGACGTGGGTCCGGAGGATCTCGTCACGGTAACGTAGCGCGTTCAACTTCCCATTAACAACCAGAGGCGTTCTCCCGTCGGCTGTGATGCCGCCCCAAATCATATCGCTGCCACCGCTGAAAGAACGTCGTTGTACCACACACGCGTCACAGAAAAGCTTTAAGCGACGATACACTCTGGAACGGCCGTCACTACTATCCAGGTGGACTCGCGAATTGTCCGTAAACAAAATGCCTTCCCAATTCCGTCGAGTAAATTGCAGATGCCTTCTGCACCAGTCCAGATGTGCTACACGATGACGTGGCAGAAGAACTGGGTGGATTGCAGGACGTCACGGACGGATAGCTCGTTCACGCAATCGGTTCCGTACAGTCCTCAGGCTTATTGGTAGCAACCCAGGGATTGTCCGTGCAGTCAAACTTGCCATTTGGAAGCGATTTCTCAAATGGACAAGCCGAATATGGTTGTCCTGTTGACGTGACGTCCACGTGTTGAGGTTGATCACCGACGTGGCCAAACTGTTGATGTCGTCTCCACAAATCCCGGATTGTGTTTCGATGAAAACGTGTAGAGACAACGGCTTGGCCCATACCAGCTTGAAGCATACCAATAATCCGGAGGCGGTCATTTTCATTGAGCCTCGGCATAGCATTAATCACAAATTAAAACGTTATAATGCTGTTTTTACTGTTCACTGGTCTCAACAGAATGACCCAATAGTTGAAAAATAAACTTTCCTTGTCAAATTGGATGGCTGGACGAGAAAAACGTGCAAACTGGTCAACGCCTATAGATAGCAAACTGCACGGGAAAAACTGTCAATGACACACGGATAGTGTGTATGTGGCATACTCGGCCATGTGTGTGAATTTTCATGTATATACAGTTGGTAATACATGTTCTATATCAATTCTCTGCATACACAGTTTCTTTTTTCCGCTAGTATATATAGGTAAACTATCTTTAATGTAACTAAAAAAACCTTTGAACGATTTCAATGAAGAACTAGATTATAGCATTAGAGTCGTGGTTGCTTGCCTGAATCCTGATTTCTATGAAAAACCAAAAGACATGGAATCGCTGAATTTAGCCAATAGCTTGCTTGCATGGAGTGTGATTTTTAGCTCACCTGGCATGAAGTGCCAAGTGAGCTTATGCCGTGGCGCGGCGTCCGTCATCCGGCCGGCCGGCGTCAATATTTTGCTTTAAACGACTTCTTCTTAATAACCGAAAGGCCTAGGGTGTCGATATTTGGCCAGAAGCAAACTTGGATGAAGGGCTACAAAGTTTGTTAAAATTAATGACCTTCACCTATTTTCAAGGTCACAGGGGTCAAATATGTCAAAAACTTTAAACATCTTCTTCTCAATAACCAAAATGCCCAGGGAGATGATATTTGGCCAGTAGCATGCTTGGGTGAAGGGCTACCAAGTTTGTTCAAATGAATGACCTTCAATTATATTCAAGGTCACAGGGGTCAATTGTATTAAAAAA